GGTAAAATAAGCGATATATAATCAGGCTTCAGTGTGTATATGAATGGGGTGTAAGGGAGCGCAACAGATGCGTCATCAGTCCCCCCCCCCCATCTAGCAATATGCCTGCTCTGTTTAGCTACCCCATTTTCTTTTCCTTGGAAAATACCCAAGTAAGTTCATTTTATTAGAGCTTAATAAGAATGTCTGATAAATGACAAAGAAATATAACCTGCTAGTGCCGTTCAGCAGCTGAATTCCATAATAAGTACATGGGCAAGGGGAATGGAAGGGGCAGCAATCGGGCTTTTGGGTCAGTCAGCCGTTGGATTAGATGATTGGGTGGATAGGTGCTTTTTTGTCATGACAGCAAACATTTTGGCATGTCGAGCCATCAATGGTTGGTCTGTCTGTCTCTGTCTGTCTGTCTGTGTGTCTGTCTTTCCATCCATCCGTCTGTCCAAACAATTTGTCCAAAAGTAATGAACATACAAAGCAGTGAGCATCTCGGTCTGGGTGGGGAACTGGCTGAGGAACACACTCACCTCTTCCTATGTCTGATATGTCTCGTTCTTGGGGCTGCCGTGGGTCACATTCGTTGGACTTGGAGTAAGTGTCTTGCTCTTCACAGTGATGCACCAGCTGTCTGCCTCCATTGATCACCTTTGTTAATCTTTCGGCAAGAATAGATGTTCCATGTCTGGAGCATATCTTATTGAAAAGTGCATTGCAGTGTTTGTCATTTCCTCAGGCCACAAGCCTGGGCCACAGGAAAAGCATTGTGGTTAATGTCAATACATGTTTTCAAGCAGTGCTGCATTGAAGCATTTCTCCAAAGCAACCTAAACTGTCTGCTGGTATCCTGACCTCCAGAAGATACTGAATATTGATGCTTCAGAATTTTAAAATGTAGTATCTCACTCAGAACCTTATCGGGGAGGATGTGCACTAATACGACAGTCACATTCAGTGCTTCTGTGCACTAATACGACAGTCACATTCAGTGCTTCTGTGCACTAATACGACAGTCACATTCAGTTCTTCTGCTGGTTTAGCAGTTAGATCTTCTACTAGAAACATTTGCTTACTATAGGGTGTTACTGTGTTACTGAATGAAACATTTCACTTCTGCACATGATCATTTGATTCCACATTTTTGTTTATATGTAATTATGTATGCAAGTTTGGGTAGTTTTCATTAAATATTGAAGTCCTTCTGAAGGTTTTATGACATTTTATGAAGGATGAAAGGTTTACATTCTTCCTTGAAGTGCCATGTTAGGTGACACACTGATCACTGTGCATGCTTGCTGTGCGATTGGCGGGGCTTCCCCCAGCTACTAGAGCGTGGGTGCATATCTTAAGCAGTTGCTCACAGAACTGGTTTTGTTTCCGGATTCTGAATATTGGAACTAAATTTCTAGGTTGGTCATTGGATACTCTGCAACCAAGGTTTAAAATAAAGAGAAATTAAATAATTTTCATAAAGGAAATTTTACTTTATATAAGAAAATAATAAAAGCCTGACACCTTAAATCCCTGTGAATGCAGCACAGACAGATGTGCAGTGTCTTTTTGATACTTTTGAGTGATATAGTGCTGTGGGTCTGTGTGAGGCTGTTCAGTGCCTCAGGCTGCTCTGTGTGGCCCCTCACTGTGTCTTTGTGAGGCTGTTCAGTGCTTCAGGCTGCTCTCTGTGGCCCCTCTCTGTGTCTTTGTGAGGCTGTTCAGTGCTTCAGGCTGCTCTCTGTGGCCCCTCTCTGTCTGTGTGAGGCTATTCAGGGCCTCTGGCTGTTCTCTGTGGCCCCTCTGTGTCTGTGTGAGGCTGCTCTCTGTGGCCCCTCTCTGTCTGTGTGAGGCTATTCAGGGCCTCTGGCTGTTCTCTGTGGCCCCTCTCTGTCTGTGTGAGGCTATTCAGGGCCTCTGGCTGTTCTCTGTGGCCCCTCTCTGTCTGTGTGAGGCTGTTCTCTGTGGCCCCTCTCTGTCTGTGTGAGGCTATTCAGGGCCTCTGGCTGTCCTGCATGCTTTCCTCCCTGAATAGCTCGGGTCCCTATGCTACATTCCATTCTGAAGTCAATGGCAGTGTCACCGAACAAGTGGACAAAATGCAGGATGTGAGCTGTGCTACCAGTGTGAGGGAGAGAGGAGGATCACACTGAAATGCTCCTCAGTGGGAGTCGTAAGCGGGAATTAAACAGATGCCTGAAAGCAAAACAACTAAATAAAGTCACAGAGCTACTTACACAGGAAGGCACAGATTTCAGATCTCTGTGCCCAGTAACACAACAGCTCCAACACCGTCGTGAAATTTGTGGAGGACACAGTTATGGTAGGTCTGGACTCAACAAAATAACTACTGCAGTAACAGACACACCGCATAAGGTTTTCCTGGACATGTAAATCACTGAAGTTATTAACGGCCAAATGGTAGTAGCTAATGAAAAATGAAATTGATATGATGGGAGGGATATAAAATAAACTGGACAACAGGAAGGTTCACAAGACCTCACTGGATGTCTGCTTCCCATTCTGATTGAGGATGAGTTCCGATAGCAGAGCGCTAGACCCAGTATGTGGTGGCATGCTGGCTCCATGGGTTACATGCCCAGAGGTAGGGGTTGGAACCTCACCCCTGCCCTGCGTGGGTGCAGTTTGCATGCTCTCCCTGTGCTCTATAGCTTTCCCTATGAAGTCTAAAGACAATTCAGGTAGGCTCTGAAATTCCCTGTAGTGTGTGATCTTGTCCTTGTATGGACTGTAGGGGTGGCACGGTTCACAAAACCCACGGTTCGGTTTGTATCACGGTTTTAGGGTCACGGTTTTCGGTTCTGTACGGTTCTTGTTATTTTTTCTTTTAATCTTTAACACTCCAGAAATGTACTTCAGCATATGATATATAGTTTAATTATCCACAATTTAGGATACAGTATTAAAAAAGTTATATCATGTAATCATGCATAAACTGAATTTGACTTGACTTAAAGCACATTATTAAAATTATTAAACATTATTAATCCCAGAACAGTAATAAAATAAAAGACGCATATAATGTTTAATCATTCGTTTTGTATTTGTCCGGTCCACGGGGTTAATTGGGGATCGTTAAAATGATAGATCACCTATCTTGATTAAGCCTGATTCGGTTATATAACGTGAAAAAAATTGGTATTAATTATATTGAATGTTCTTGAGTAATCGATAAAATCAGTTTCTGTGTATGTACAAGACATCAATCTGTAATAGTGCAAAATATGTCCAGTTGATATGTCTAGTATGATCATCTGGCAATAGCCTGTAGGTCTGTGTGGTCAGACACTGTGCAATAAACAGAATTTTTAGGAACATGGCAAATGTTCACATTGCAGCATGGAAGCAGGCTTACTGTTACAACGCTGACCGGGGAAGCAGAGGCGAGGAGACCTAGGATCGGGGGAATGCGGGGTTTAATGAGCAAAAGGAACACAGACGAGCGGTAAAGCAGAATTACAATATAATGACCGGACTGGAGAAAGAAACGGAAACGCGGACTAAATACAATGAAGTAATGACAAATTTGACAACAATCAGGAACAGCTGGTAAACACGGGGAATCCACACAGGGTTAACGAGGGGGCGTGGCACACGGAAAGACCGGACGATCGAGGCATGACACTCACTGGAGTGCTTTGTCACAGATAACTTAATTTTCTTTAACAAAGTGCCTAACCGCACATTAAATAAAGTCACACAACAAAGGCGCACAACAGTGTTCAGATGTTGTGCTATCGGTTGGCTGAAATTTAAACGTTTTCTTCAGAGACAGGGTGGTAACGCCGAAAACACGAGCTAAACGCAGCAAACGAAAGGCTACCTGAAATTACTTAGCTGGTTGAACTTTTACCGGAACTACATCACACCGCTCTGTGCATATAGCCTATTCTTTCGCGCGAAAGGGAAACACACTGACGTCACATACGGGGCACGAGGCTACATTGCGCATGTCATGAACCGTCGAACCGTGCGACGCATGCATGCTCCGAACCGAGACAAGCGAACCGAACGGTTCGGTTTTTTTTCATGAACCGTGCCATCCCTAATGGACTGACATCCCACAATGGGTGTTTCCATGCCATCCGCCCTGCAGTGCCTGGATGGGCACCACAGACCCCAAATCCAGCTTAGGACAAGCTACTATATGATTGCTGGATAAACCAAACATGCAGTCACCAGTGGCTTTATATATTATAATGAAGCTTTTGATTTTTGATGTTTATAGTAATTTGTTCACATGGTTTTTTGTGATGTTTCTCTAATTCCACAATCAGTGTGCCACCATAATATGTAGGCTAATTTAGTTTGAGCCTGAGTGGCCCCAAGAGAGAGGCGGGTCAGACAGTAGCACCGAAATGTTAAACATCACCAAACAACTTCTGCTGGTGGAAACTTTTGTCTTTTCCACCATTTCACTGTATCTGAAGCCACAGCAGTTCACACTTTTTTTTTTCTCGGTGTGCTTCATTTTTATTGTGGTTGACTACTTACCAGTGAAGTAGAGAAAGCATCATGCAGCATTAAGCGTAGCTGACAGTGAACTGACAGGCCAAACTGCCAAAAAATGCTTCCACTTTTTATTTTCATCGTTCAGCAATAAGGGCGGCAGGCACTGTCTTAAAGCAAAGAGTATTACTAATTTTGTTTGAGAGACTGATCTGATTAATCTCGGCTGGTGAGGGGGATGGGGTGGAAGAGGAACTGAAAGACCCACGAGTTCTGGTTTGTGTGTTTGTCTGCTGGTTGCTGTGGCAACGTGTTGCTGTCGTTGGCTGCCTGTCAGTTGTTTGCGCAGGATCTCCTAGTTGTCCTTAGTCTGCAGCCCAATGAATGGAATGTCGCCCTGGTCTCATTATTTTGCAAGGGTGGATTTATGTACTAAGATGCCACCTGTGAATTGCTTACCAATGTTACTCTGTTGGTCGGTCAGATGGCAAGTTCCTCACTCTGGCTTTCTGTTTGTGTCTCTCCTACCATCCCTGGGAACATAGTCCTCCTGGCTGAGCCCATCGAGAATGAATGCGTAGAAAGTAAGACCCTGAAGATCACAGACTTTGGACTGGCACGCGAGTGGCACAAAACCACCAAAATGAGCACAGCGGGCACCTACGCATGGATGGCACCGGAGGTGATCAAGACGTCCACCTTCTCCAAAGGCAGCGATGTGTGGAGGTAAGACATGTTCATGCCGTTTAATCATGCTGGAAGTCCTGCTGGAGTTGCACAACTCCACTTAAATGTTACTAAACCTCTCATCCCACGTGTGTGACCTTACATCCCCCAGGCTACGCACAGGGACTCTACAGAGGAGAGCAGGTGCTAGATTCAGAACAGAGTGATCATGTTTAGGAGAAAACAGGATTTTCAGTTAACAACGCATGTTCAGTTAAAGTTTAAAGGTTTTTAAAGCATGCTTTCTCTCACTGGTCACACTCCTCAGGTGTATAATAGCAAATTACAAAATCAAACTCCAATACTTGTGACCAGATCTGAATGCAGAGCTACGCTGGCACTGAGGAAAGCAGAGAAAATAGAGTTCCAGCAAATTCACACATCATCACAAAAGTTCTTTCAAGCCAGTGTACAGATTTTTTGATTTTTTTTAATTTTTAGATCAGTTTACTGTTTATTTGTATGTCAAGTGATAAATATGTCAGCTGTTCCTGGTAGAGTAAACCAGTCTTATGCATGTCACAGCCATGCTGAGCTGAGAGCATATAGAGTTTGTTCTCTAGTTAGGGTGCCGTCCCAGTGCCACCTACACTTTGAGTCAAGTGAGAACAGGTGAGCAGCTGGCTAAGGAAAACACCTGCTTAGTCATCTGTGCTCGTCCTCTCTGCAGTTTATTAAAATGGAAAGCAGTTGTGTTATATGTTAAAAAGCAAGATCCAACGTTTTATCTTGCGTAAGAATGCTTGATGCTTGATTCTTCTCCAGAATTGTCAACTAGGTAGAACACAGAACAGTGAGGAATTGAACTTGTTAGGTCCTGTGCCTAAAATGATGTATGTACTGATATTGTGTTTTAAGGCAATTTAGTTAGGGAGCTGTACTTTATCTCTGTTGTGATTTTTTGTGAATAAACAGAGGATGGATTTGAAAGTTCATGGTTCCATTTTGTGTGATGGACTGTACAAATAAAGGCAGACCTATAAACAGAGGCTCTTCCTAGTCACTTGTCCTGGGACAGATTCAGAGTATGTATGCAGGTCTGGATGACTGGCAAACAGCTGAAGTTCAGCAGTGGTTTGTTTGCTCTAAAGGCCTGATTCCATCTTACATGCTGGTTTTTCAATGTCACTCTGGTGTTGCTGTTGGGAACTGAGCTCTGTGTACAGCGTGTCTGAAATTATTATACCATTGTAATGTTTTAAATATCTCTAGAACAAATAGACAAAATGAATTACTGTTTTTTGTTGTACTAAGGGCAATATACTAAGCTTGTTTCTACCTATGTTATAGAACATTGTTTGACATCTAGTTTGCAGATAACAGCAAACCATGAGAAAACCACTTCTGGTGTTATTGTGCAGGTTGAAGAATAATGCCAAACATTTAGTTATGATGTGAATGTCTCTGTCTTGTCAGCCAGTGAGAAACAGTTATTGGCTCATGCTAAGACAAAACTGGAGAGTTAAAAAATATTACCACCAAACTGTGAAAAAAGCAGTGAATGATGTGAACAAAGAAATAACACAAACCAAAGGAAAAGGATTGAAGAACATTATTGCCTGGGGCAAATGTCAACTGAACCAGATTCTCATTAGATATCCCTTACTAAGCAGTTCAGAAGTGTTCATCAGTGCAGGTGTGTCAGGTGTGAAACGTGACAAGAGATGCAGAATCCTTAGATTGCTGGGCGAAGTCAGGAAGTCTAGTCTCAGGCAAGCTCTCAATTAAGCACACATAAAGCAACATATAAAGTGGATCAGAGAAAAATTATGAACTGACTTTAGTAAAGTGATTTTTGCTGATGGATAAAGGGTGTTGCTGGATGGCCCAGATGGGTGGTGTGATAGGGAAGCTCCTGCAAGCCGGAAGCGACAACAGGGAGGTGGTGAGATCATGACCTAAGCTGGGATTGGCAGCGGTAAAGGCACTGGGTCATTCAGAGTTAATGATGGGGTGAAGCTGAACGGTGTGAACTGCTGCACATGACCGGAAGGCACATTCTACACACGGTACAGGAGTCCCAAAGCCGAACTGCTTGGTCATGCTAGGCAGTGCCCATGCTTCGCATGCTTCTGGAGTACAGGCTTCCTAACTCGAAAAAGGTTCTCTGCAAGCAAGCTGATGACTTGGCCACCATCTTCACCCGACCTGCGAAACATGTGGTCGCAGGTGAAACGAACTTTACAAAGGGAGGAAGAAAAGCAAGAAAAGCAACCCAAGAGTACTTCAGGCTGGGGATACCACTCAAAGTGCAGTGAAGTGCAGTGAGCTGTCACTGCAGAAATCATCAACACTAGTTCTATGGATGAATCATTATTATGATTGCTGAGAAAATAGGTTATTATATAAATATGTAAAAGTGTTTGTTTCTTCTTCCTGGATAGTGAAAACTCTTATATTGTATTTCTGTTTATACATTTTGCATATGGTTGCACAATCCTACCCATTCAGACAGTAAAACATGCCTTGCATAATAACATCAGGCAGCCATTTTTGCATTTTTTTGTTTAACTCTGATCTTCAAAAAATATTATTGTAGACAGTCTTTTTAATATATATAGTTGACCAGTTTGATCAAGGTATTCGAAAATATTTCAAATGATTACATTTGCATAATAATTTCAGACACACTGTAGTTTATGACCTGCCAGTGACGTGTCTGCTGCCTCACAGTGGAACCTTTCTTTCTTATTGTCATGTTTGTTATCTTGCACTGCTGTTTACGATGGAGAAAAGCACCTCAATGAAGTAGTACTGTAGCAGCAGTAATCTGAGCAGGTCGTATCATGGTCAGACTTAAGTGGAACACACTTAACTGACTGCGAAACTACATTGTGATGGAGACTTAAAACTCAAATATGATTGAAAGCACTGTGTGCAGACTATGGATGTGCAACTCCATCACTGAGGCGATGCGATAGACATCTCAACGGTCGGATGCATTAAAGATACATATGAAGTAAATACAAACCCCATTTCCAGAAAAGTTAGGACACTTTCTAAAAATGCAATGAAAAATAAAATCTGTAGTTTGGTACTTCACTTGAACCTTACATAAACAGGCAAAAGGACAAAGAAAAGATTTTCAATGTTTTCACAGACAAACTTAATTCTATTTGTTACATATAAATAAATTTAGAAATTGATGCCTGCAACACACCCCAGAAAAGTTGGGAAAGAGGCAAGTTTACCACTGGCTCACATCCCCATTTCTTTTAATTATACTTCTCAATCATTTGCTAACTGAAGAAACTAATTGTTGCAATACAAAACTTGAGTTGCTCAACAGTCCACAGTTGCCATTGTCTGATTCTCCTCTTCGTCATGTGCCAGACATTTTCAATAGGAGGCAGATCTGGGCTGCAGGCAGGCCAGTCAAGCACACGGACTCTATGTCTACGAAGCCACACTTTTGTCATTTGTGCAGAATGAGGCCTGGCATTGTCCTGCTTAAATATACATAGAGTTCCTGGGAAAAGACGTTGATTTGACATTCCAATGTAAGCCTCCGCATCAATGGTGCCTTCGCGTATATACAGACCCCCAAGCCATGCGCACACATGCACCCCCATACCATCGCAGATGCTGGTTTTTGCACTTTTCCCTGATAACAGTCTGGATGGTCTTTTTCATCTTTCAAACAAGCTGAAACGTGGACTCATCTGAACACGTTTCCATTGTCTTTTGGTTCATCTCAGTTGAGCTTGGGCACAGAGAACTCGCCGGCGTTTTTGCACAAAATTGATGTATGGCTTCCTCTTTGCATAATACATTTTCAGGGAACATTCTTGATGCAGCAGCATAATGTTTAAGTGACAGTAGCATGACGGTTGCTAATGCGATGCTGCTAAGGGTTTGAAGGTCACGCACATTCAGCAGTGGTTTCCGCCCTTGGCCTTTATGCACAGAGATTTCTCCTGAATCTTTTCACGATGTTATTAACTGTAGATGATGACAGATTTAAATTCTTTGCTGTCTTCCACTGAGAAACAGTTTTTAAATTGACAGATAATTCTCTCACGAATTTCAGCACAAAGGGATGATTCTTTGCTTGCAAAGACTGAGCGTTTGCTAGATGCTCCTTTTACATCCAATCTTCATACCCAAACCTGTTATCAGTTCACTTGCTGCTTGAGGAACCTTCCAGAATGTTTTCAGTCTTACTTTACTTCTGTCCAAACTTTTTTGTAATGTATTGAAGGCATCATTTCTAAATTAGTCTATGTTTAACAAATAGAATTGTTTGTCTGTGAAAACACTGAAAATCTTTTCTTTGTCCTTTTTTATCTAAATATCTGCGTTGTAGAAATACTTCACAGGTAACAACGAAATCCAAAGCAAAACGGGACTGCACACTGTGCTCTACTGAACCATCAAGAGGAGGTTCGAAGTCAGAATCATACAACACTAGTATTCTAATTGAATATTCAAAATCTAAACATAAGAAAATGTGTGAGAAAATTGCCACCAGCAGCACTCGGGCACAATGTGGTGATGATGGTATCCGGAGATGGTAGTATGCAGAGATGGTAGTATGCAGAGAGGGTAGTATGCGGAGATGGTAGTATGCAGAGATGGTAGTATGCAGAGATGGTAATATGCGGAGATGGTAGTATGCAGAGAGGGTAGTATGCAGAGATGGTAGTATGCAGAGATGGTAGTATGCAGAGATGGTAGTACTTTCTGAGGTGTTAGGCAGTATCAAAAGTTTGTGAACCACTGCTTTAGAGGTTTTAGAGTGACATATTTTTAAATTATAAGTAACCTACTGATCTATTGTTTTCCACAGAGACTAAAATGAGGATCAGCACTGCTGTGAACAGCTATGAACAGTGGCAGGTCTTAATGTTGGCTGTTTAGAGGATTGCCTGTATGGTGTGTTTAATATAGGCTTTCATATTGTTTTTCAGGAAAAAACTGAAAAGTGCCTCTCTTGGTGGTGCAGTGGGGGTGGGGGGGATTCCAAATTTAACGTTTATCCCCATATTTTTAATTTAAAATATTGCATGTTATTTTTTAGACATCACAGAGCCCTAATTGGTATCACTATCGACGAATATCAGAAAACGAGCCTCGGAGCAGTAGACAGATTTGTAGACATCGGCAATGTGGGAACTCCTGCGGGGATTTGCCTGTTTTTAGTGAAATACTGTAGCAAGTGCAGTATGGGGAAGGCAAGTGGCCGAAACTTGCAGTTTGTTCTCATATCTTTGTTTTTTTCTATATATCTAAATATCCGTTGCTTGGAACAGATGGGAAATGAACCGTTTGCTGCAGTTCTCTGGAGTGACCAGTGTTGGCTGCCATGTTGGAAGGTTTCCTGCCCTCCAGGTCTCCTAGCCAATCACGGGACAGAAACGTCTGGACTGGGGCTGTGAATTAGTTATTGCTAATGCTGATAAATAAGTCATAATCGACGGTTTGGGAACATTTTTTTCTTAGAAAAGTGCACAACACAGGAAGGAGAGTAGTTGAAATGACCAAGACTCTCTATCGGCTGTGTTCTACCAAATTCGGATTTGTTACTGCAGTGCCGATTCTAGCTTGCTTGGCTCCCTAGGTGACCCCCCACCAATAAATAATGATAACATTTTATATGGTACAAATATAAAAATATATAGAAAGTAAGGTTCAGAAATATGAAAAAGAAGTAACAAATAGAAACAAATAATAGTATATAAATAAAAGAGAGGATCAAATTATTATACTATTGCCTTCAATTGCATAACTCCCAACTAAACTCTGACCTTTCTTGTTTTCTCAATGCAGACTCATGAATTACATCGTCATAAGAAAGTGCCAGAGGGCTCCAAAATATTTCGGAAGAGTTTGAAATACAGTATATGGGTCTGACACCCTAATTTCACTAAATATGGCTTCGATTTATTCTTATACTTTTGTGTTAATTTGGTACTGAAGCATCAATATATTACTCATCTCCCAACACTGTCAACCAAGAGTCAAGACCAAACCAGTTCACCTTAGATTGGCTTTACATTTCACACAAACCAAAAATGCAACAATATGCCTGTGCAGCTATATATTCACAGTATTATTAATGAATTGTGGTTTATTTGGTAGCATTCCATAATGTGACCGATTTTACTAACTGCATACAAAGTTAAAGGTTTGCTATTTGTTACATTCTCTGCTCCCCCTAACTCATACTTCCAGTGGGGTCATCTGAGGTCAATCCAGCTCTGCCCCCCTCCCCATCTCATATTTCTGAGTGGTAGCCAGCCTAGTTCACAAACTAGAATCAAGGTCCCCACTCTGACACAGTGACATATCATCATTGACAAGGCATGCAAATCAGTGATAGAAAACTGATCACGCAAATATCACCATTATGTTTCTTTTATTTGTTTGTTTGTTTTTATGTGGGCATCCCATGGCACACCTGATAAGATGCCACCCTGTATGGCTGCCCATGCCACCCATACCTAAATCTCTCTGAAGCTAAGCTGGTTTGGACCTGGCCAAGACTTAAATGGGAGACCAATTAGGAAAGCTGGGTTGCTGCTGCAAAAAGTGTTCGTATGGCCAACAGGTCCACTCATCCTGTGTCCTTTGTGGATCTCAGTGCATTGTGTTCCTGCCCTTTCATCACCTTAGCTTACGTGTGCTGAGCATAGTGGTGCAGAATGGCTGCTGTCACATCATCCAGATGGCTACTACACAGTGGAATTGGTCAAGTAGCTTTGGCCATCTTGGAAAGTGCTATATAAATGTTTAAGTTAGTCTCCCCATGGCATTTAAGGTGCTTTTTCCAGGAAATTCAGATCAAGCTAAATAGGGTGGCAGTGTGTTGCTCAGTGGGCTAAGCCTGTGTGTCTGTAATCACACATCTGCAGGTTCTTGAGCAAGGCCCTTAACCCCCAGCTCCCTGGGCACTGCCATGAGTGGCTGCCCTCTACAGACAACTTGCTTACAAAGAACAAATTGAGGGCTTCTGTAAAGCGCTTTACTGCAATGCTCCTTATTAACGCTGCATTAATAACATGGAATTGAACTGGTCTGCTGAGATCAGTGATGACCATTGTGACCAACTGCTGTGATAATGTGAATATTCTGTTGTCCTTTAAACCGTGTGTGATCGGGGAGAGGTGGGCGTGCTGTGTGCTTGTGCACTGCAGTCTCAGAGACTCGCCTCTGGGTTTAAGACGCCCAGGCCTGCAGCCGAGGTGAAGCACTGACACAGTAATTAGAGGCCCAAATAAAACTCTGTGGATTGCAGGCCATGCTTTAGGGTTTCCGGTGCTGAAACAGTCAGTTGAATGCGTTTGCTGTGGTGTGCCAGGAAGTATCCCTATCCAGTGTCTCTCCACTCTCTGTTTTGTAGTTAGTGACTGCATGTGTTTAAGTGTGTGTGTGTGTGTGTGTGTTATTTGTCCATGTTTCTCTTAGTATGTATGTTTGTGCAGGGACGGATTATGGGTTGTGTGGGCCCCTGGGCAAAACGTTCGCGAGGCCCCCCCCCCCACCACCACCAGCACCACCACCACAACCACCACAACCACCATAATCCTTTTGCTGTGTGCTTGTGCTGTACTCCCTGTCCTCTCCTGGTACTTCCCCTTATGTGTGTGTAGCTGTGCTTCATGACTTCTGCCCCATCCATCATGTCATGTTTTAACTGCCTGTCCTCCGTAGCTACGGCGTGCTGCTGTGGGAGCTGCTGACGGGTGAGGTGCCGTACCGCGGTATTGATGGCCTGGCGGTGGCCTACGGCGTGGCCGTTAACAAGCTGACGCTGCCCATCCCGTCCACCTGCCCGGAGCCCTTCGCCCAGCTTATGGCCGGTAAGCCACCTGCTGCTAAGCCGGCCTGCCGCTGCCACCTCGGGGAGCTGACGGCCTGCTTTTACTTCCCCTCTGCTGGGTCTGTAAAGGAGGCCTGGGCCAATCGCAAGCCCCCCTAGGTCAGCAGGGGGCTTTTTACATTTTACTCAGCCCTTTTTTGGAAATACTTGCAGAAATCAAGATAACCAATGCATTTCTCATGTTTAACTTGTATACTTATTATTAATTTAAATAAATATTTGTTTGCAAAAATCTTCTTCGACTTAACATAAACCCCATTATTTTATCACATGGACCAGCTTTCACCCACTGTTAGAATCCAAGAGTTTTATTTCGAAATCCACGGCCCCCTTTGCTGATTACGGAGGAACCCGCACAGGTGTGTGAACGTAGGTGCTGCTGTTTCTGTGTGCAGAGTGCTGGGACCAGGACCCCCACCACCGGCCAAACTTTGCCTCCATCCTCTCGCAGCTGACTGCCCTGGAGCAGGAGGTCATGGACGAGATGCCGCAGGAATCTTTCCACTCACTACAGGAGGACTGGAAGCTGGAGATTCAGGACATGTTTGACGAGTTGCGTTCCAAGGAGAAGGTGGGGGCACAATCATATGTGTGTATGTGTGTGTGTCTGTGTGTGTGTGTGTGTGCATGCATGTCCATGTGTGATGTGGGTCTCGCCCGGTGCAGGAGCTGCGCTGCCGCGAGGAGGAGCTGCAACGCGCCGCCCTGGAGCAGAAGTCGCACGAGGAGTTCCTGCGGCAGCGGGAGCAGCAGCTGGCGCGCTGGGAGCAGGACGTGTTCGAGCGCGAGCTCAGCCTGCTCATCCTGCACATGAACCAGGAGAAGCCCAAAGTGAAGAAGCGCAAGGGAACCTTCAAGAAGCACAAGCTGAAGGGCAAGAACGGCGAGAAGATCAGCATGCCGCAGGGTGGGGGCACCAACGCGCACATGAAACTGAATACCTGAACCCTTCGAGCTTTAAGATCATGCCCAACCACATTCAAGCACTCAATGACCTTATTGTCCAATTGTGTTCTCTAGCCAAGGGCATGAAGTTTTTTTTTTTCCATGTGTTACGCACGTAGCTGAATGTTATTTAATTCACGCATTTGATTTGATGCAAAACAAAATTCCATTATTGGAAGAGCTAGGACCAGCCATACAGGCTTAGAACAATTGTATTGCTCAGCCTTCCGTGAATACGTATGGCTTTAGCATTGGATCGCTGTCCCTGTCTGCCGCCGCTGCAGATGCTTTGGTTTGTAAACCGATAACTCAAAATCCATTGTTCAGATCTTTTTCAAACTTCATTCAGGCACTGGATGGGTGTGCAACTAAAACTGATTAAATGTCGAGACAGATCAGCCCAAAACTGAAGCAGCACCTCGTAGTGATAGCAAAAAAATGGCAGTTTTGTCACTTGATCCTGTTAAGATGATACCTCAAAAGCCGTTTGACTGGACAGGACCACTGGATACATTATTTATATGGATGAAGATGTACACCTCATTTCATTTTAATTTTTACATCTCCAGGTGATCCATTCAGTACTTCTACAAATAGTACAATTTGGTGAGTGTGGGACGAGTACAGCTTAGAGAGCCGGATCGAACGACAGGGCTGTCTGGGGAACACAATGCTGTTGTTTCTGACAGCACTGAATCTAATCTTAATAATAATTATTATTTTTGTATGTTCAGAGCCTTGTGACTCCTACACCCTTTTGAGTAACAACACAATCTTTTTTTGTTTGAAAGATGACTTTCTTCCAAATTAATGTTTTTTTTTTTTTACTTCATCGGCCTTGTAACTTATTTTGAGGCTCAAGTGTAGCTTTTTAAAAATAAAATCTCATGCTTATCTCATGAAGGGTCACATATAAAAAAATGACTTCAGTTACTCCAAACCCCAACTACTAAATGCCAAATGTAACAAAAATCAGTTTGAGAGACCTTGAAAAAAAGAGTGTAGCTGTAATTGTAAAATACGCACAGCTCATATGGAAACCTTCTTAGATCATTCTTTGCTACCTGCAGTGTAGAAAATATCATATATCTCAACGGGAAATTTTTATAAATAAACAAAAAAACATTTCTTAGCTCTGGAAGGTATGTTTAATTCACATGCCAAATTTAATCTGAATCAAAAATGCTGATGCAATTACTTTTTTGGAAATTTAATTCATAGGGAATGACCCTATATTTCTGAATACCTTGTACAGTTATAGGAAATGTTCAGTTCTAAATGACGTTAAAAATGTATATTTCCCGCCAGGCATCTTTGGTGTCTCCACGTGTTTCCGGCCTCTCCAATCTGATGTGTTTCCTGCTGCTTCTGTCACTCTGATTGCTGTCTGCTTCTGCTTCCTCAGACTTCATTCACAAGATCACCGTCCAGGCATCCCCAGGTTTGGAGAAGAGGAAGAACTCCCAGGACCTCCCCTCTGGCTCCTCCCCTTCCATTGGGCCCCGCCTTCTTCTGCGTGAGTCAGGGGTTCACAGCCTTTTAGTCTTTCATCTCATATGTGTCCTTCCCATTTACTCTCTCTCTCTCCCTCTCCCTCACACACGCAAACACACACACACACACACACACACACACACACACACACACACATGCACATGTCGGGTATACCTATCCTTATGAGGCCTGCTCATTCACTTGTATGGGGAAAATGCTAACGCTAACTATGACAACCTTAACCCCCACCCAGCCCTAACCATAACTATAAGGGATAAAGCCAGTCCCCATTAGGGAAAACAAAAACTAATGTTTATCACATTATGGGGACATTGTGTATGGGGACATTGTGTCCCCATAAGGATAGGTATACCCGCTCGTACACACACACACACACCCAGTAAACAGTATTTTCTGGATGGCCCTTTGGTTAATATTTTACATGCAGTTTAGTCTACACAATAGAACCACAATCTTGTTCAGTTTTAAAATGATAAAACATAACCCTCATTCATTGATTTTAATGGTAATATTTTAACGTTACAAATGCTGAGTGATGTTTACAAAAGTTTTATTTTGTGCTGATTCTTCTGTAGCAAAATGCACTGCACATGGTAAACAAATACACTGTATATATACCTTGTTTATATACCTTGTTTATTTCATGGCTCATTCCCTGCCTTACCAGATAGGCTCTGGAGCTCTGCTACCCTGCACAGGACAGGCAGGTCTAGAAAGTGGATGGATGGGTGGATGTTCATTTCATAATAAGTTTTCCAGTTCCTTCTAGTGTCTTTCTTTATTAATTAGAAGTAAAATACAACTCAAGAAATAACTATAAAAAGGTCTATAATAAAGGAATGTGGTGAATATAAGGAGTGGATTATCTGCTCTTTACATTGCAACTGCATGTGAATGACATAATTGGCTGCTTGGTTTAGTCTGAAGTGCCTCTCAGCTGGCATACTGCAATGAGCTTTTCCTTGATGCACAGTTTTAGAAAAAAATCTTTCAGTAATAGTAATGCACGTCACACTGGTTATCTCCCTTACATCAGATGTCTCACTGCCATTGTTTTAATAGGTAATTGTTGCAGAAGATGGTTCCCTTTATTATCAGTATCAAAGCTGGTCCTGGCCAGTCAGGCACATGATGCTGTACCTCTGTCTCTGGTCCTGTCCAGTTAGGCACATGAC